TCAATGAAACAAGGAAAGTAAGCAAGAAGGAATGAAAGAGATGTCCATGACATGAAGAAAGAAAGAAAGAAAGAAAGAAAGAAAGAAAGAAAGAAAGGACAACTGTGTAGTAAGGGCATAGATTAGAAATGAAAGTAGAAAGAATGTAAGGTCCAATAAGTCAATGAAACAAGGAAAGTAAGCAAGAAGGAAGAAAAAGAGATGTCCATGATATGAAGAAAGAAAGAAAGAAAGAAAGAAAGAAAGAAAAAAAAGAAAAGAAAGAAAGAAAGAAAGAAAAGGACAACTGTGTAGTAAGGCATAGATTAGAAATGAAAGTAGAAAGAATGTAAGGTCCAATAAGTCAATGAAACAAGGAAAAAGCAAGAAGGAATGAAAGAGATGTCCATGACATGAAGAAAGAAAAGAAAGGAAAGAAAGAAAGAAAGAAAAAATAGGAAAGAAAGAAAGAAAGAAAGAAAGGACAACTGTGTAGTAAGGGCATAGATTAGAAATGAAAGTAGAAAAAGAATGTAAGGTCCAATATGTCAATGAAACAAGGAAAAAGCAAGAAGGAATGAAAGAGATGTCCATGACATGAAAAAAAGAAAAAAGAAAGAAAGAAAGAAAGAAAAAAAAAAGAAAGAAAGAAAGAAAGAAGAAAGGACAACTGTGTAGTAAGGAAATAGATTAGAAAAATGAAAAGAAAGAATGTTAGGTCCAATAAGTCAATGAAACAAGGAAAGTAAGCAAGAAGGAATGAAATAGATGTCCATGACATGAAGAAAGAAAGAAAGAAAGAAAAAATAAAGAAAGAAAGGACAACTGTGTAAGAAGGGCAGAGATTAGAAATGAAAAAGAAAGAATGGAAGGTCCAATAAGTCAATGAAACAAGGAAAAAGCAAGAAGGAAGAAAAAGAGATGTCCATGAATGAAGAAAGAAAGAAAGAAAGAAAGAAAGAAAGAAAGAAAGAAATGACAACTGTGTAGTAAGGGCAAGGATTAGAAATGAAAGTAGAAAGAATGAAGGTCCAATATGTCAATGAAACAAGGAAAGTAAGCAAGAACAAATGAAAGAGATGTCCATGACATGAAGAAAGAAAGAAAGAAAAAAGAAAGAAAAAAAAGGACAATGAAGTAAGGGCATAGATTAGAAATGAAAGTAGAAAGAATGTAAGGTCCAATAAGTCAATGAAACAAGGAAAGTAAGCAAGAAGGAATGAAAGAGATGTCCATGACATGAAGAAAGAAAGAAAGAAAGAAAGAAAGAAAAAGAAAAGAAAGAAAGAAAGAATGAATGAAAGAAAGGACAACTGTGTAGTAAAGGGCATAGATTAGAAATGAAAGTAGAAAGAATGTAAGGTCCAATAAGTCAATGAAACAAGGAAAGTAAGCAAGAAGGAATGAAAGAGATGTCCATGACATGAAGAAAGAAAGAAAGAAAGAAAGAAAGAAAGAAAGAAAGAAAGAAAGAAAGGACAACTGTGTAGTAAGGGCATAGATTAGAAATGAAAGTAGAAAGAATGTACGGTCCAATAAGTCAATGAAACAAAGAAAGTAAGCAAGAAGGAATGAAAGAGATGTCCATGACATAAAGAAAGAAAGAAAGAAAGAAAGCGCCCGTTTAACTTAAAACGGCGGGAAAAGTTCTCGCAAACTGCATGCCAAACGGGAAAATAAGTTCATTCATATATCATTGATTCGATGCCCGGAAAATTCGGTAATTTTAAGTAGGAAAATTCGTTAACTATAAAATAAAAGTCGATTGAAAATTAATTTTAGGACCTTTCTGGCGTGAGGAATTCGAGATGAACCTCTCCCCTATATTTTTTTAAAATAAAAATGAGGCCATATTGTTTTTACTTCTGTACAAAGAAGTCAATCAGTTAAGTGCCATACGTGATACACTTTCGGGCGATAATGTATTTTTCGATACATGACTGACGAGGCAGATGTTTTTTCCCGTGGTAGATTGCCATTTCTTTCTGCGGTAGACTGATTGCCAACCAAGGCTAAAGAACCCAGGCTATTTTGCTAATAAACCGATAGCTTTGAGAAGCAATGGATACATAGTTTTTTTCCAGTAGTATTTGTGCCTAAGTGAAACTAATGAACTCAACTTGAAATCGAACTCGGATCCTTATCCTTTCGAGCCGGTATCTATTACACCACGATATTAGAACTTAACTTTAACTTAGATAAATCGGTTTTACTTGCTTGAAAACATTAGAGTATAGTAAGTAAATAAATACTTATTTAAAAATATTTATTTAAAAAATATTAGAGCGTGGGGTCTTAGCCCTCTACCTCCCACCCAACCAGAAAGTACAGCTCTGGTATTGTTGCAGTGGGTTTTTATCTGGACTGGAACCCAGGATGTTTTTAGGTAATATTTATTTAATCACTTGGAAAGGGTCCTGGTATTTTTAGTGGGGTTTTGCTAGACCCCCATAGGATATAATACTTTTCTAAAAATATTGGGGAAGAATGCATACCCACTTCTGCAAGTAAGGCCCTGGTATTGTTTTAATGGGGTTTCATCAGGAGGAGATGGGCTTAGTCCCCGAATACCCAGAATGGCCCTAAGATCAATTTTCAATCGACTTTTATTTCATAGTTATCGAAATTTCCTACCTTGTCAAAATTACATAAGTTTCCATTACCGAATATTCCGTTACCGAATATTCCGTTACCGAATATTCCATTACCGAATATTCCGTTACCGAATATTCCATTACCGAATATTCCATTACCGAATATTCCGTTACCGATATTCTATTACCGAATATTCTATTACCGAATATTCCATTACCGAATATTCCGTTACCGAATATTCCATTACCGAATATTCCATTACCGAATTTTCCATGCAGAAACTTCTGTTACCGAATTATCCATTGCCAAATTTTCCACTACCAAATCGTCCGTTACCGAATCTTCCGTTACCGAATTATTCGTTACCACATCTTCCGTTACCGAGACTTCTGTTACCGAATTATTCGTTACCAAATCTTCCGTTACCGAGTCTTCCGTTACCGAATTATCCGTTGCCAAATCTTCCATTACCAAATCCTCCGTTGCCGAATCTTCCGTATTTTCGGTTAAGAAAAAACTTTCGTTACCAAAACTTTCGTTACCGAATCTTCCGTTATCGAATTATCCGTTACCAAATCTTCCATTACCGGAACTTCCGTTACCGAATCTTCCATTAAGGAATTATTCACTACCGTATCTTCCGTTGCTGAATCTTCCGTTACAGAATCTTCCGTTACCAAATTTTCCGTTACCGTATTTTCCTAAATTCGATTGATTAATTCATTCATTTTCTACAGCTTATCAACCCATTGGAGGATATTTAAATCCAGAAAATATTTTTTGAATATAAAAAGATTTTTTTTTTCTTTAGATAATAATAGTTTAGTCATACAAGTTGGAAGAAAGTTGGTGAATTCAGACTTTTCCTGTGGGGATTTTGCCCATAACTAAATACAGAGAAAAAACAAGGGGAATTAGAACTCGGATCTTCGTTTAGCAATCCCGAGCTAAACGTCATTAAACGTCTCGCATATCCAAGATGACACCCTCTCTTGAAATGTTCCCCGATATTTAAACTTCTGTCCCTACTTGATGTTTATATCTCCAATTCGTAGCTAACACCTCGGAGATTTTTTATCTCTTGCTAATGACCATACTTTCTGTCTTCTTGCAGTTAGTTCATTTTTCTAGCTTTTTTCTACTAAATAGTCTGGGCGGTCCTGTAATTTTCTTTACAAGTCGATCATCAAAATAATGTCATTTGTGTATGTCATATTGTTAAGACTACGCACATCAATAATAAATCCTGCTATGGGTCTCTAGCTGTAGAGGTTGAATAAATCTGGCGACCAGACTCGCCCTTGTCTTATGCCCCTTATGTTTGTAGAGTTACTCAATTTATTTTCAATCCGTATGAAGGTGTTTTAGATATGAAGGCAATTTTTGCATCATTTTTACATGAAGGTCGTTTTATAAATTGTTACTAGACTGACCAAATTCAATTTTTTTTTTTTTATCTCCATTTGAGTGCTTTCGACTGCACGGTGGTAGCACCTGCTAGGGTCCCAGACATAATGCAAAAAATAGAGAAAAAGGAATTATAAAAGTGAAGGAAGCAAAAAGGAAAAAAAAAACAGAGGAGGAGAAAAAAGGTGAAAAAAAAGAAAAAAAAAAGAAAGGGAAATCAAAAAAAAAGACTAAAAGAAAAAAAAAGAAACAGAAGGAGAGATATTAAAAATGGCAGAGGAAAGAAGGAAAAAGAAGAGATAAATAAAAAAAAAAAGGACAAGGAAGTAATAACCATTCGACCATGCTTAGAATTTGGCTGCCATATATGGTCCGAGGCTCCTGCTATTTGCCTTCATGTGCCTTGATAAAATCCTCAAAAGAATCAGCAATATTATTGGTCCTAATCTGGCGATTTGGCTTCAGCCCCTGTCGGGCCGCTGTAAAGTTGCTTCCCTTTGTCTTTTCTATAAATACTTTCATGGTAATTGTTCGGATAAGCTGTTCGCTATAATATCGTTGTTTTATTCCCGAAAAAAATGTATATAAGGGGAGTAGTTAAAATTTCATAGAGATTCTGAGGTATGATTGTGAATGTAGTCAGTATGGTATGGAAGAATGTATTGTTTTGGTGTAAGGAATACTGTGGTATATTTCGCTCAGTGATTCTCACTAGCTAAGTTTTAATTATAAAACAAAAGAAGACCATCCTTTTTCCCATCCCCATTATTGGCCTTGTGCCACATTTTTGTATTCTATTATAAAATATATATCGCTCTTCAGAGACTTTTTTTTATTTAAGTCTAGGACTAGATTGGCGTAAAGATATCGTCAATTTACACTTGACCTGGCTAGATGTAGCCGTAAAATCTATGCTAACGGTTTCCTTTCCTGCACTTCTCGCTTGTGGAACATCCTTCCGTCTCCATGTTTTCCAGCCAACTTTAATCTCCAGTAATTTAAATACAACGTCAATCGCAATCTATGGTACTGTTTGTTCCTCTTTTTGTTCTCGTTCATTAGTAATTTTTCTGGTTACCAATTCTTCCACATTCACTGATCTTCTTACGATCTTGATTATACCAATGTTTTCTCTTCGAGTTACATGAGATATCCATTTTAGGTGTTACTGCTGTTGATATTCCTCAAATGGTTTCGTTTCTGTAACCTGGTAGAGGTCTGTTTTTGATTCTGTAGCGCCAGTTCACAATGTTCATAGAAAGATGGTCTTCCCGAAGACCCACAGAACTCACTTGCTAAAAGCCATTTTAAACTATTTGAATGAGAAAACGGTTGTATACTGCTGACATTTTAGATATGTCTCAACGGGTTTGGTGCCATACATGATATCTATATGAAAGCCTCAATCTGACGGATCAATTTAAAAACATCACCAGAGATTTTTTTCAGATTAATATTTTCGTTTATAAGCGATTTTCGCTGGTCGGGAGAAACTCTCCTTACCGCAGCTATTCTACCTTCAGTCTCTTTATCTCTCATCCTAAATTTGTTATAACTGATCCAGACACCGATATATTTGAAGTCCTTGATATTTACTAAATCCAATCCTAAATTTTATGATGGATTCAGGGTAGAGGCCATCACTGCTCTCAGAAGACCCCTCTGTCTGGTAACAGGACTCTACATCATGCCACACAAACATGAGACCACATTACCCCTTACACTTGGCCACCTAACATCCCAGACTGTAACCCTCTTGATTGTTATGTGTGGGTAGCAGTTGTAGAAGAGACCAACCAAACTCCTTGTTATATTAAAAAAAATTGCTTTTTCTAGACATTTTTGTGCAACTCTAGTAAATATGTCTGTTCTAATTCATAGTTTTTCTTTTAGAAACTTATCACGAGTTCTACTTCAGGGATAGAACAAAAGGAATAATTAAGTATGTTATATATAAGACATAGGTAATTCCCCAAAACAACTGGATGTTGTAACCGGAAGTTTAATAAATCAACTTCCGACATTCGATTATTTCTATTAACAAGCACTTTAAGATATCAGATTTAGTCTGGTTGGTATGTAGGTGAAGAAATCTTTGAGTATAATCAGAACCAAAGTAGAGACCAATTCTTTTACATATTTGTT